CCAGGATCCGCCTTTTCAGCCTCTGCACCAGAATGTCCAGAGCCCGCAGCTTGCCGTTCTCGGCGTCGATGACTGTCATGATCGTCGACAACTCCTTGTAGTTGCGTGCTCTGATATCCACCGCCGGGTGTGCCGTGAGATAAACCAGCTGAAAAAATCCCCAGGCTACCGCTGGAAGATGCTGGAAGCTTGGCCCCTTCGCTTGCGGCCATCACCCCTCGGTGTGCCTGGGCGAGGAGCTCAAAAGTCAGTGATGGTTGGATCTTCGGGAGGGCGGCCAACTGAAAAGACGAGTCACTGGACTCGTCTCCATCACTCGAAGAAATGGACCTCTTCTTCCTCTTCTTTTCCTTAGAGCCACTGCCTCTTGGACCTCCAGCGCCGATCTCTCGCGACGTCCTGTGGGGCTTCTCTTCCCGTTCTCGGCCAATAAGTCGTCTTTGCTTTCTCGCTTCTCTTTCTCCTCGGCCTTCTCACGGCTCCAGCCGGATCTCCTCCGGGCTGTCCAGTGGCTCTGCCAGGCCTCAAGGCTGGTCATCACCCTAGCCCCGTAGGTCTGCTCCACCCAGTAGTCATAGTACTCATCCTGCACCGTTGCCAGCCTGCCGATCATCTCTGGCTTCCACGAAGTAGGCGAGCACAGTCCTGCTGGCGCCCGGTTGTCATACATGGGAACTCTACCCAGACTCCGGCCTCCAGCCCATCGAAATGGGAATCACGAGGTTCTCCGCCACGTCGGCATACGTCCAGCCATGGCTCCGCCGACGGGGGGTGCGTGATGCGGGATTTATCCTGACACCCCTGCAGGAGCGACAAAAAGCCATGTAGCTCCACACTCCTCACTTTCAATTAGCCCAGGCCGAAACTGCGCGACCGTAGGAATCGCACAATCGAACAGGGGGCTGCTATCTAGTATGCTTACTCTTACTACAACAACAACAACAATCTCTACTAGTACTATAGTACTAGTACTACTACTACTACTACGACGACTACTACTGCTACTTCTATGACTGTGGCTAGTACTATTTCTATTACTGTTACTATTACAATTACAGATGCTACTATTATTACTACTACTACTACTGCTATTACTACTACTCCTACTACTACTACTACTACTACTACTACTACTACTACTGCTACTGCTAGTATGACAATGGCTAGTACAAGTACTAGTACTATGACTTTAACAATTGCTATTACACATGTTCTATTACTGTTACTATTACTATTACTATTACTATCACTATTAATACTATTACTACTACTACTACTACTACTACTACTACTACTACTACTACTATTACTAGTACTAGTACTATTACTATTACTATTACTATTACTATCACATTACTATCACATAACTATTACTACTACTACTACTACTACTACTACTACTACTACTACTACTACTACTACTACTACTACTACTACTACTACTTTTTGCAGCAGGCCTCGTTGTCCAGCAGCCCGGTTACAGCAAAGAGCCCCTCTGTCCCCCGCTTCTTCAAAGCAAGGAGAGGAGTCGAGCTGACACTCACTACTACTACTACTGCTACTACTACTACCACCACCACACGACCACGACCATTAGCACTACTAGTACGACAACAACAACCACTACAATCACTACAACTACAACGATTGCAACTACTGCCACTTGTTTTGTCTCTCCCTCTCTCTCCGAGCACGGTCCTGACAGATGAACTCCGCCGTTCCCACGAGGTGCCCAGGGCAGGCGCTCACCAGCACCTCCAAGTGGACACAAGGATAGATTTCAACGCAAATCAACGCAAGCACGTTCAACTTCACCAAATAAGACATTTCGAGCTGGAACGTGGGTGTGCCAGGTGTGCAAGACTTCTCAAAGGCGCTTGCCTCTGGTAGCAGCCGTTGCCGCACGATATCCAACCAAGGTTGCGTGCCACCCGAAATTAGATTGGAACATGTTTTTAACCGAAGTCATGCAGACATGCATGCCCCCAATCAGCACAACCAGTTGTACCGGCTGGCAAAGAGGAGAGAAAGGCTTCTCCAACAGTCGTGTTGAGGCCACTCTCCTCTTCTTGAATGGAACGTGGTTTGAACGTCTGCCCCGTCAGTCTTCCCAGACTATGGGAAAGATATCTTCGTGCCAAGGCCAAACCAAGGCCAGGGTTCCGGGCGCTTTGCTGCGCTCTTGCGCGGAGACTAAATACAGTACTCCATGCAAAGAGAGGCGCGATATGCTTGGTTCCATCACCATGTAGTAGGTACTGGAAAGGGAAATATCATTCTATAGTGCGCATAGCCGAATTTCATCGGGCCATTGCACGTCTGACGATGACGCCAATGGCCGCAGCATGCTTTGGGCGATCCTCAAGACCGATTCCTGACAAAGAAAATTTACAGGACCATCCTCCGTCGACAGCTCGTCTTGTGCGACGACATTTAGAGGCGGTTGGCACATGCAGACGGCCACACTACACTAACCAACGCACCTCACAATCACACTGTTATAGGGACACAGGTCCAATCACAAGCTTCCGGCCTCGCGATCGTCCAGGCCGGGGTGATCAAGGGCCTTGGAACGTGCATCCAACAGAGTTTGTGTTTTCTGTGGGTGTGCCCAGTTCGCATGTGTTTCAAAAGTAGACCACGCCGTTCTCCGGCACCTGCTCCTGCTGCCTTTGCTGTCCCTGCTGTGAGAACAGCTCCTGCTGTTGCGAAGGAATCTTTCCTCCGTACTCCGTACCCCTCGATACCAATGACTATGGAGATCCTAATCAGTTTGCGTGGCCGCCTCCGTGCTCTTTCGGCACAGTGGCTCCAATGTACCTCAACGCTTGGGAACAGGCGAAAGTGCTGCCGTCCAGCTCCAATCCTGCGGAACCTTCGACAGTATGCAGGAGACCGATCGTTGCTTAGGTCGGGATGGAGGTGGCAGTTCAAATCAGCTCAATAGAGCAGTCCTGAGCAATCAAGGGAGGGCTTCGTTCGTAAAATTAAAGGCCCTTGGCTAGTCTGCTGGCCGCGCCTGCAGCACAGTGCTTTCCGCATTTCCTGCACAGCATTTTCAGCAGCAATACTTTGAAGCCTCGTTCCGCAGCTGTCCACAGCATGCAGAAGGGCACTGCGCCGTCCCTGGCCCCTTGCTGCGCAACGGATTGTCGGGTCTGATCATTGCTATAGACTCTCGCGGAAAAACAAACTCCGGTTCGGCAAGCTTGTTTCGGCGGCGAAAAACTAGCTCCGGGAGGTGCGGTCTGTTTCGGTGGCGAAAAGCTTACTCTGGCCAAAAGAGTTTGACTGGAGGAGAAACTCACGTGAGGGAGAAACAATCAAACTCGCGCCGCACATGTTTGTTTCTCCTAGGCTAAACAAACTTTGACCACGGGAGTTTGTTTCAGCGGCGAACAAGAAAGTGTGGCCAGGAAAGTTTGCTTCGACCTCGCATGGGTTCGGTTCTGGATGGGAACTTAACGTTTCCCGCAAGTTCTCGGGGGTGGGGGATAACCAAACGAACTTCTCCCGTACGAGTTTGTTTCTCAGGGGCAACAGAAAGATTGACCGATGGAGTTCGTTCTTCACTGTCGAAGCAAGCTCTCCTGGCTGGAGTTTACTTGTTCTGCAAACTCTGGAAAGCTGAAGTAGAAGAAGACTTTTTTCGAGGCAAAGCAAACTCTGGCGGAGGACACAGGTTTTTTCCCGAAGCAAACAGCTACGAGTAACAGGGATGGGTGCAGTCTGCTTCTCCCAGCGGAAAAAATCGACGGGCGGGTGCAGAGATTTTCTTAAGCTGCGCAAACTCTACTGACTCTAGTGCCTTTCCTTTCCCTGGGCAAAACCTATCTCAAGCCTAGGGAGAACCGACTCCGAGGGCGGGGTGAGTGGGGAGGGGTTGATTTTGTTTTCCCTATGCAAAACGAACTGTGGCTTTGCGATTAAACAGACGGGGTGGGTTTGTTGCCTGGGCAAATTGTTAAGCAGGGCTGTTTTCTCCAGGCGAAAAAACTCGGAAGGCGGCGGGCCATAGCTTGCATCTCCCGACTAAGCTTTGCTTCTCCGAGCCTGAACAAACGTTGGCGCTCTCGCTTGATAACTTGTGACCAACTGCACACGTCTTCGCCTTATAGCAACGAGGCGGGGGTTGTGAACTTAAGCCACGAAGCTTCTACACGTATCGACATCACAACCATGACAAGCAGAACGCTTACAAAACAATGGAACAACTACACAGGCCTTCATTCAAGTCTTCGCCTCATGGGGAAAGGGCCTCGGGCTGTGAAGTGAATTAAGCTACATCAGTCTTCACCTTATGGGCTGAAGGGGGGATTGTAATTTGAATAACGAGCCTAAGACTAAGTGTTGTACGAAATTTCACAAATCAATACCATGGCAACACCGACAAAATGGAAGAGGCTCCCTCCGTCTTCGCGTTAGGCTGTTTCAATATTGGACTCGCTTCAAAATCACACATTCAGGGCAAAACTACGAAAGTCTTCGCTGCCTGAGCAAGGCAGGATGGATGGTTTTAGAAAACTGCAGGCACAGCTCTTACAGTACTGTCCGCCCGAGCTGTGAAAGACAATTATCCAAATGATAGGGCGAGCGAGTGAGTTAGTTCGCCCTCCCGGAAACAAACCCGGTCCGACGCTGGCTTCTGGCTCCGGGGCCGACCCTTCTCGGCAGAGTTGGTTTCTCCTTTCAAAGAGGAAATAGGTTTTTTCGCTCCAAAAGCAATTCCTCCACCCGCAAACAAACCCGGTCCGACGAAGTTACTTTCTCGATCCGAAACTAGAGTTTCTGCAGAAAACTACTTTCTCCTGAAAATTCTGAAAACTAACAAATTTGGGTCGGCCCTAATGTGACGTGCTAAGTAAGGGGCGGGGTGCCCGTGGCCGTCAAAAACTGCAGCACGCCTCACATCACCACATTACAGCATGGCCTGGGGCCAAAGCACCAAATGCGACAGAACATCCTAACAACATGTAGCCACTTCCTGTCTTGTCCCCGCTCTACGGTACCGTGTCCTCCGCAGCAGTCCCGGCACTGTGCTCGTCAGAGCTGCCCCATCCCCGGTCCCCTTCTCTAACTCTCACTTCCTTCCTTCCCTCACTCCCTCACTCACTCTCGCTCTCCCTCGTCCTTGCGTCCTGAAGGGTCCACCTCTCTTTCTGTCTCTCAGTTTCTCCCAACCTCCATACCCTCCTCGCGAATGCTTTTGTCTGGACCTGGCAGACCATTGATTGCTTGCTTACTTGCTTGCTTGTTTGCTTCGAGCTCTGGGGTGGGAGAGGGTAGGGAAACTCTTCTGTTTTTCGATAGGCCTCAGGGTCAGGGAGAGCTCCACCCCGCCCGCCCTACCAAAGCCTGTCTGCTCTGCCTCTGGTAAAGCTGTTCGGAGACCCTTCCTCTCCCTCTTGCTTGCTTGCTGAGGGTCTGTGTGCAAGCAGCCTCAGTCCGCGACGGTAAGTCCCCTTTTGCGGTTGGGTGTCTCCCGCTGTCTCTCTCTCTTTCTCTTTCTGTGTCTCTCTCTCTTCTTGTTCTGTGCAGATGTCCAAACGTAGGTCTTCGACCATTTGCTTGACGTTCTTGAGGGTCTCTTCTGCCGGGGTGTCGTCCCCCCAACCTCCCATGATGAGCACTGGTTTGCGCCCCCCCGAAGTCCATGTCTGCTGTGCTTGAAGCCCCCGTGCTTTGGATGACTTGGACTTTTTTCGTTCCAGTTCCAGGGTCTGCTCCAATTGGCTGTGGTTACCCCCGTCTCCACACGGTCCATGCGCTGGTTGATCTCTCCTCGCAATGTACTCGCACCACTTCCCGGATGGCCGGTCATTGCTCCCCCTCGTAGGCAAGGATTGCTAGGTTATCGGCCTGGCCAATATCACGGACAGGTAGTTGAAATATGTTGAAATAGCCCCCGATCGAGGTAGACGGGGTGCTGGATCGACGTGAGATCGGCGAAGACCTGCAGGCTCGCCGAAATTGATCAGGTAGCGGGCGTCAGGCTCCCGAAGGTTCAGGCTGTAGGCCGCCGATCCCGTACTGGAGCACTCTTGACTATGTCCCCCCTCAGAACCCGCACGGCGAACTGCGCACACTTGCCGCACTCGGTGCCCCCGCTGATGGCTTTTGAGAAAAGGCCCTGGCAGGAAAGGAAAGCCCCCGGGTTTGAGACCGGCCGCCCCTGAAGCAAGGAAAAGAAAGGAGTGAAGAGAAAGTCTCAGGGCAGTGGAAGGAGTCGGCACGGCCTTGAGCACACACGGCTTGAGCCAGGGTCCCTGTTTGATCCTGTTTGTGTGGGGTTTGCGCGGGTGTGAAATATTAAATATGTCTGGGCTGCAACCTGTCACGATAAACATTATTGGATCGAAGACACATGCTGCTTTTCCTCTCTCTCTCGGTCTCTCTCTGCTGCCGCAACCCCCTCTGTTGCCCTTGTGAAACAAAGAGAGGCAAGCATCCCCCGAAGCAACACCCCCCGCCGCCCGTGTGCCGCTCTTCTTCAGATTCAGTCTGTGCTCTCTCCCTCTCTCTTGCTCTCTTCCTCCGCTCTCTTTCTGCGGACTCGACATTGCTGAGGAAAGGACCCAGCGTTCAGCGAGAACTTGTTGTTGTTGCAGGCTAACGTCATTGATCCGTTGTAGCCTGGGAGCAGTCTGAAGTTCCGATCCCTCCCCACATCCAACCACATTGAAGGAAAGGCAAACCGACGACAAGGCCCATACCCTCCGGACACGGCGCCTGCTTTGCAAGGGGGCAGGGCCGATTCACAATCGTTGCCGATGCAATCAAAATCCACCGTAATCCCTGCTAAAGCTCCATCTCCTGCAGTGTATTGTGGCGATTTTGTAGCCGAGTGACAGAATCCCCGTTCTGAATTTACATTGGCGGAAACGGGAGCCGATCGCTCTACGAACGCGACGACCGATTCTCCTTACAAATTTGCTATTGGGAAGCCCCTGAGCTCGGAACCGAGAAAGGGTCTGTTTCCTCCGATTACTCGAGGTCTGAAAGGCTAGTGGCCCCGATCATTCGTCCAGTTCTCAATCCAATGTGCCGCCCTCCAACACTGCGGCTCGGTATGCAGCTCGACCGCACAATCTCCGGATTCCGGTGCAGTCCATGGCACATCGCGCTAAATTGCGTAAACCCCGGGCCTGGATGGAACTGCCATGGTCCGCTGTGCCGTGTGCCACCTGACATGAGCGCGGCACAGCGCAGGACGGCTTTGCTGTCCAGAACAACTGCGCCGATGGCGGTTACGAACAGCGGGTTCGATGGTCCATAACTCATTACCGTATGATCTCCCATGCCAGGCACGGGGTGTGCATCCTATGTTCTTGGACACCCTGCTGCAGACTCAAATTCAGCCTGTCCAGCAGCCGTGCACACATTCAGCAGTGCGGCGGTTGCAGCGGGACCTTGATGTTACTGCTGTTCATGCGGCTTGCCACCTGCCAGGAGGTGAATTACTTCTTGGCATGGACAGCTGTGCCACTGGCGGTGCCTCCAGGACGCCTGCTGGGCATTTCAGCGTGAGCCGCTGTATTCGACCGGCCTTTCGGTCGGTCCAATAGACCTGGGCAGATTCCGGATCCACGGCCACGCCGTAGGGCCTTGTGACGCAGCGCAGCAGCTCTCAGCGCAGCAAGCGCAGTATTTCTCACTTTCTTCCAGGTGTCTGACATGCTCATGCCCGGTTCACTGACCAGTACCTGAAAAAATACAGACAGCTGCTCAATTCGAGTGCATTGCTCGGCTCGTCTTCGCAACAATGTAACAGCATCCTTGCTCGAAGCCTCGGCATCACTCCCGTCCAAATTGGTGCGGATAATGCGGCCTGAACTTGACACTTCGCTTTTGCTTCTTTACACCTCTTGTCCCGAGAGCCTGCGTAGTCAGAGGCACTCCCTGTAAAGTCGCCAGTTTTCTCGAAGTCGGTCATGTAAAGTTTCCTATGTCGAAGCGATGCATGTCAGCCCGCAGTTTTGTCATAAGCCAATGCCTGTCAGAGGCATCGATAGCCATGCCATAAGTGTTCATGATGGCCCAGCTCATGTTGAGCGCCTCGCAAAGCGAGAGGTGATCAGCTAGAACTCCTAGGTCCTAGACATCGTTCTTATTCAGCAGCATGGAGCAAATCTATAAAGAGCTATGGTCTTTGGGAGCACATGCCGGCACTGCCAGTCCCTGCCTGGATGCCGCGCCCATCCAGAAGCGCTCTCTGTGTCCGGGCATGGCCCACGTCCGACCAGTAGATCTGGAGGAGAGGAATCAACCACCCCGCACCGGGCAAAATACCGAAACAAGCGCATGCTTTGACGTAACCGCTTGCATGTGGAGAAGACACAATGGCACATTTCAGCAGAACTGGAAAAGTGGCACTGTCGTGAAGGTTGCTCATCCCTCGCGAGCCCCTGGCCATGCCGCTGCCAGCATCGAGAGCTACATCGACTGGTGAGGCCAGCCCTGTCACAATGGGCTCCTGTGTGCGATAGACCTCCCTCTCGCACAAACCTGCCCCATCCTGCACCTAAATGCCAAGCACTCTCTGGGCATCAGCTCCTCCAGTCCAGAGGGGCTCCTTCGCAGAATGCGTCCGTTCCTCAGTGACAGAAGAGCGTGAAACTGCGTGCCACTCCTTCTGATGCGACGTAGATTTTTTGGCCTCCCGACATCCAGTCGGCCCAGTAAAGAACGTCCTTGTTCACGGTGACACCGCTGGCAAACTCTGCGTTGGCTACCACCTGGGAGCCATCAGTGGCACTTTGTCCTTCTCCTACAAGAGTTTGCCACATAAATACTGGAAGATGACCTGCCGTTGTATGCCGCTCCTTTGGGTTCAAGCTGGGTCACCTCAATCTTTCCCGGGAGCATTGCAAACGGTTTTTCAGCGGAGTGGTCTGCTTGCCTTCATGATGCATATGACATGACGCCGGGACGCGGTGCTCCGGTGCTTTCAATTTATGTATCTGCGGGCGGGAACCACGCCAGTACGAGGCGCATGATGCCCAGCTTTCGCTGCAGTACATTTCGCTGCGCGATTTGCAACTCTTACAGCGTGACAATTCACCTCAAAATGCTTCTGATGTCATGCTTCAAATTCGCAATGCTTACTTTACAGTGGTCCTGCAGGGTTGTAGAGCGGAGCTCGGGAGTACCAGACGAGTGCAAGGCTTAGCCGGCTCAAAGTTTAACGTTCAAGGTTTGCAAAGCTTGATGGTGATTACGCGGGTTGTGCGCAGTTTTGCGGGAATTCTGGCGCAGTTTGACAGCTTGGCAACACTCTCTCCGCGTCCGGGGTGCGGTGTCGTTTTCTTGTGGTAATTAATTTGCCTCCGGACAATCGCAAACCCTTCTTGCATTGGGCGCGGCGTGTCGTGAGGCGTTGGTTTTGAGACCGTTGTGCCTCCAAGTTCTTACAACTCGCAACTCCTGCAGTTGGCATGGGTTGTCGTTTGCTGTGTTATATCGTGGTTCTGGCAACGTTTTGCATTTCCAATGCCCCAAATTCGCAACCCTTAGAATAGGCGAGCGGTGCAGCGTGTCGACTGATCATAGTTCGGCATGATTCGTCCTCAGCTCATTCACATCGCAATCCTCTTGCAGTGAGAACCGCATTTGTCTGTTGCTTTATTTCTGAACGACTTTCTTCAGACATTGCGAATCCATGATGTCGCGGAAAGCCTGCTTGAACCTGGAAGCTGCTTCATTCCATGAAGGAGGCCCAATGGCAGACGGCCAAAAGTGCCAACCGGTACAATCTGTTGAGTCCATGTGCAAGGCACGACAAGCCGCCTCGAAACAACTTAAAGATTTTTCAAATGCTTTGGTGGTATGCGACAAGGTTGTGATAATCGGATTAGACCCATCTCGTGCCTCAAGCCCAGACTGTTGCTCTGCCAATGGCTACCGGACTTGTCCCAGGAAAACCGTGCATGTCGAGCCGCTATGACTCACAGTCATCATCATTCTCTTCATCATCATCATCATCATCGTTGGCCTCCGTGCTTGACGCCACCCCAGGGCGTTGAGCAATTTTGCGAAGGGTTGGTTTACAGGCGCAGACGTTGGGGCGGTTCGGACAGAATCAAACGAATTGCACGGCATCTACAGGACCCTCTCTTGCTTGCGGCTTTTGCATTGCGGGCGAATTGGTCGCGCCTGCTCTTCAAAACAACCATTGATCAGTTTTGACACTGTTTTGTGCGCTTTCTTTTGGACACCCGTGTGCTTGTCGCTTTTTGTTGAGGGTTTTGCGTGTTTTCTGCCTCCCACTTCGCAAGGACAAGCCGGCATGCCAGGGCCGACAAGTCGGAGAGAAAGCTGCAGATCAGAGTTGCATGATCCTTTCGAAAGCCAGATCACCTTCAATGTTCGAGGATGATCGAAGTACAGTACACGATGACTGTACATTTCGTGATCATTTCGTGCGTCATCAGTTTCAGCTTGAAAGAACACGCACGCACTCCTCGATCGCATCCTTCGCTCAAGCATAGGATTACGAATTGCGAATTCCCTAAGTCTGTTTTGTGGGAATTCTCAAACAGCAGATCTCCGCCTTACGCTTCCGGATTCTCTCTGTCTCAGTTGAGCTCAAATCCCCGTGGGTTCGACAATCCTGAGGCTGCACTTGCGCAAGCGCTTTGAAGCTAAACTTGCTGTGTTGAGCGAACTTTTCGCTTCCTATGTTGGGCCCGTCTGACATCACATGCACACACACACACACACTGACTGGATGCAAAACCTGCGAAATTTTGAATTGTGGAATGTCCTGCAAACCAGAAGGATTACACAAATACATATATATATATATGTAAGAGAAACCTTTATGTATAATCTGGCGTTCCTGTTTGGGGTATATAAGCCAGAAGGGGATTGGATAGTTTAGATAGTTTGTGGGACGCCGGGGAGGGCACAAACTATCCAAACTATCTAAACCCATCCCGGTTTAGATAGTTTAGATAGTTTGGGCCTTCCCCCGTGCCACCCAAACTATCTAAACTATCTAAACCCCTCCCGGTTTAGATAGTTTAGATAGTTTGGATAGTTTAGATCGTTTAGATAGTTTCGGGGTCTCCCGTTGGTCTGGAGAGAGAGGGGTTTAGATAGTTTAGATAGTTTAGATCTTCCCCCGTGCCACGCAAACTATCTAAACTATCTAAACCCCTCCCGGTTTAGATACTTCAGATAGTTTGGATAGTTTAGATAGTTTGGGGGCCCCGTTGGTCTGGAGAGAAAGGGGTTTAGATAGTTTAGATAGTTTGGGCCTTCCCCCGTGCCACCTATCTAAACTATCTAAACCCCTTTCTCTCCAGACCAACGGGAGACCCCCAAACTATCTAAACCATCCAAACTATCTAAACTATCTAAACCGGGAGGGGTTTAGACCAGAGCAGCGGGAGCCCCCAAACTATCTAAACCCCTCCCGGTTTAGATAGTTTAGATAGTTTGGGCCTTCCCCCGTGCCACCCAAACTATCTAAACTATCTGAACCCCTCCCGGTTTAGATAGTTTAGATAGTTTGGATAGTTTAGATAGTTTGGGGGTCTCCCGTTGGTCTGGAGAGAGAGGGGTTTAGATAGTTTAGATAGTTTGGGCCTTCCCCCGTGCCACCCAAACTATCTAAACTATCTAAACCGGGAGGGGTTTAGACCAGAGCAGCGGGAGCCCCCAAACTATCTAAACTATCTAAACTATCCCCTCCCGGTTTAGATAGTTTAGATAGTTTGGGCCTTCCCCCGTGCCACCCAAACTTTCTAAACTATCTAAACCCCTCCCGGTTTAGATAGTTTAGATAGTTTGGATAGTTTAGATAGTTTAGATAGTTTGGGGGTCTCTCGTTGGTCTGGAGAGAGAGGGGTTTAGATAGTAGATAGTTTAGATAGTTTGGGCCTTCCCCCGTGCCACCCAAACTATCTAAACTATCTAAACCGGGAGGGGTTTAGACCAGAGCAGCGGGAGCCCCCAAACTATCTAAACTATCCAAACTATCTAAACTATCTAAACCCCTCCCGGTTTAGATAGTTTAGATAGTTTGGGCCTTCCCCCGTGCCACCCAAACTATCTAAACTATCTAAACCCCTCCCGGTTTAGATAGTTTAGATAGTTTGGATAGTTTGGGGGTCTCCCGTTGGTCTGGAGAGAGAGGGGTTTAGATAGTTTAGATAGTTTGGGCCTTCCCCCGTGCCACCCAAACTATCTAAACTATCTAAACCCCTCCCGGTTTCGATAGTTTAGTTAGTTTGGATAGTTTAGATAGTTTAGATAGTTTGGGGGTCTCCCGTTGGTCTGGAGAGAGAGGGGTTTAGATAGCTTAGATAGTTTAGATAGTTTGGGCCGTCCCCCGTGCCACCCAAACTATCTAAACTATCTAAACCCCTCCCGGTTTAGATAGTTTAGATAGTTTGGATAGTTTAGATAGTTTGGGGGTCTCCCGTTGGTCTGGAGAGAGAGGGGTTTAGATAGTTTAGATAGTTTGGGCCTTCCCCCGTGCCACCCAAACTATCTAAACCCCTCCCGGTTTAGATAGTTTAGATAGTTTGGATAGTTTAGATCGTTTAGATAGTTTGGGGGTCTCCCGTTGGTTTGGAGAGAGAGGGGTTTAGATAGTTTAGATAGTTTGGGCCTTCCCCCGTGCCACCCAAACTATCTAAACTATCTAAACCCCTCCCGGTTTAGATACTTCAGATAGTTTGGATAGTTTAGATAGTTTGGGGGCCCCGTTGGTCTGGAGAGAAAGGGGTTTAGATAGTTTAGATAGTTTGGGCCTTCCCCCGTGCCACCTATCTAAACTATCTAAACCCCTTTCTCTCCAGACCAACGTGAGACCCCCAAACTATCTAAACCATCCAAACTATCTAAACTATCTAAACCGGGAGGGGTTTAGACCAGAGCAGCGGAAGCCCCCAAACTATCTAAACTATCTAAACCCCTCCCGGTTTAGATAGTTTAGATAGTTTGGGCCTTCCCCCGTGCCACCCAAACTATCTAAACTATCTGAACCCCTCCCGGTTTAGATAGTTTAGATAGTTTGGGGGTCTCCCGTTGGTCTGGAGAGAGAGGGGTTTAGATAGCTTAGATAGTTTGGGCCTTCCCCCGTGCCACCCAAACTATCTAAACTATCTAAACCGGGAGGGGTTTAGATCAGAGCAGCGGGAGCCCCCAAACTATCTAAACTATCTAAACTATCCAAACTATCTGAACTATCTAAACCCCTCCCGGTTTAGATAGTTTAGATAGTTTGGGCCTTCCCCCGTGCCACCCAAACTATCTAAACTATCTAAACCCCTCCCGGTTTAGATAGTTTAAATAGTTTAGATAGTTTAGATAGTTTGGGGGTCTCCCGTTGGTCTGGAGAGAGAGGGGTTTAGATAGTTTAGATAGTTTAGATAGTTTGGGCCTTCCCCCGTGCCACCCAAACTATCTAAACTATCTAAACTATCTGGGGTTTAGACCAGAGCAGCGGGAGCCCCCAAACTATCTAAACTATCCAAACTATCTAAACTATCTAAACCCCTCCCGGTTTAGATAGTTTAGATAGTTTGGGCCTTTCCCCGTGCCACCCAAACTATCTAAACTATCTAAACCCCTCCCGGTTTAGATAGTTTAGATAGTTTGGATAGTTTAGATCGTTTAGATAGTTTCGGGGTCTCCCGTTGGTCTGGAGAGAGAGGGGTTTAGATAGTTTAGATAGTTTAGATCTTCCCCCGTGCCACGCAAACTATCTAAACTATCTAAACCCCTC